GTAAATTAATGAATAAATTAAAGTAATTGCGCTATGATGTGAGGATGGGCCCAATGTCACCAGCAACATCGCAGTTTTCTGGGACCACTGTGGTGCATGACCCACTTACTGCGTGCTGATGCTGTTCTACGTGCTTGACAGATAGTGTGCGTAATTTTCATCAGAACCCTATGAAATGGGTATTGTTATTTTCATCCCCATTTTACAGATGAGGCACAGAGAGGTTAAGACATTTGACACAGCCATACCTAACTCACCCACTTCTGTGACCCTGGGATCATTCTTTTACTCTTTTTTAAGCTGAAGTGTAGAGATGCGATCTCAGCTCACTGAAACCAGTCTCCCAGGTTCAAGCGATTCTCCTGCCTCAGCCTCCTGAGTAGTTGGGATTACAGATGCCCACCACCATGCCCAGCTCATTTTTGTATTTTTAGTAGAGACGGGGTTTTGCCATGTTGGCCAGATTGGTTACCTCGGGTGATCTGCCCGCCCGCCTCAGCCTCCCAAAGTGCTGGGATTACAAGCGTGAGCTGCCGTGCCCAGCCTCTCTTTTACTCTTTTAGCATATCTAGAATAATAGTAAACATTTGTAGAGGACGGGCGCGGTGGCTCATGCCTGTAATCCCAGCACTTTGGGAGGCTGAGGGGGATGGATCACCTGAGGTCAGGAGTTCGAGACCAGCTTGGCCAATATGGTGAAACTCTGTCTCTACTAAAAATATAAAAATTAACTGGGCATGGTAGTAGGTGCCTGTAATCCCAGCTACTCGGGAGGCTGAGGCAGAGAATCGCTTGAACCCAGGAGGTGGAGGTTGCAGTGAGTCGAGATCGCGCCACTGCACTCCAGCCTGGGAGACAGGGCAAGACTCTATCACCAAAAAAATAAAATAAATAATAATAATAATAATAATAAAATTTGTTGAGAGCTTGACTTCCAGTTTCTGGTAAACAGTTATTTAGACTAACTCTCAAAGTAACTAAAAATGGTAGGAAAAGTATTTGGAAATATCCTAGAAGCCACCATGTCCTGACTTGTAAGAAAGAAGTAAGATAGTGAAAAATTAGTCCAAAATTGAAGGAAAAGAACACTGAAAAGTAATCTGGCAAGGAAGCCACTTTTACCTTTGCCAGCCCTAGCATATTTGAACTTGACCTTGAATGGTTTTATGGGCCAAAAGGCCAGAAAATGAAAGTCCACAACTCACACTAAGTGAGAGATCTTTCCCACGATAATTTGGGCCCTGTCGGACTCCACCCACCGGTGGTATGCTGGTAAATATTTAACCCCCAGCTCTGGCTGGGGCTGGGGAAGGAGGGTCCTGATGTATAGATTGTTTGCTTATTTCCATGGTGTAAATACTCCCACCACAGCTGATTCCAAACTCTCAGCATGAGGTCACTGAACACAGAGCTGGGAAGCAGAAACCTGTAAACCACCTGCAGCACATCCCTGACTCCACCCTCAGACTACAAGAAGTCAACCAGACTTGCACAACTGTGCGGCCAGTATTTGCATCACCTGTGTGGTCAGGGACTCACAGGCTTTGTCGTCCTGCACTAGCAGAAACCTGAGGAGCCTGGCAGAAGCAAAGATAAATTATCTCAAAGGGAAGGCCTCAAATTATCCTTCTGAATAAATTTTAAAATAGTATCCAGCATAGTCAGAGAACCAGGCACATAACAAGGAAACACGACACCATGAGGAAGACCTAGCAGAAGAAGATACCCAGAGACTTCAAATATTAGAACCATCAGACACAGGTGGTAAAACAACTGTGCTTTGTTGAAAGAAAGAAGTGTAAAAATACCTGCAGGAAATAGGAAACTACTAAAAGTGACATACTAGATTGATAAAGGACATTTGAAGAAAGCTTTACAGTTTTATCGGGGATCAAAATCACAAATACCTTTAGGGGCCAAACAGGTAACACAAATAAGTAAAGTGGCTCTGAGTGCACTGGTGACTTAGGGAACACTATCTGAAAGGTCCAGGGTCCCTCAGCTCTAACTGATGGGTGCCACATGGCACTGGGGGTCCAGTTTGCAGATCTGTTGGTTCTGGATCCCTCCATCCCTCTCTCTCTCTTTCTTTCTCCTTTTCTTTCTTCTTTATTTTTTTGAGACAGGGTGGCACTTTGTTACCCGGGCTGCAGTGTAGTGGTGAGCTCTCGGCTGACTGCAGCCTCCACGTTCTGGGCCCAAGCCATCTTCCCCTCAGCCTCCTGAGTAGTTGGGGCTGCAAACACACACAACTACTCCTGGCTACTTTTTGAATTTTTTGTAGAGACAGAGTTTCACCATGCTGCCCAGGCTGATCTCAAACTCCTGAGCTCAGGTGATCCACCCACTTCGGCCTCCCAGAGTGCTGGGATTACAGGTGTGAGCCACCACACCCAGCCTAGATTTCTCTTTATTGTGATCAGATACACATAAAATTGACCATTGTAACCATTAAAAGTGTACAATTCAGGGTCATTAAGTACATTCACACTGTTCTGCAACCATCACCATCTTATTCCAGAACTTTCCTATCACTCCAGAAGGAAACCCCACGCCTGTTAGCAGTCACCCCTGCTCTCCCCTCCGCCTTGTACCTGACATCCACCAATCTGATTTGTGTCTTTATGGATTCACCTAGTATTAGATATCTCACTTAAGTGGATTTATACAATATTTGTCCTTTTGTGACAGGCTGCTTTCAATTAGCATGTTTCAAGGTTCACCCATGTTGTAGCATGTGTTCATTCCCTTTTGTGGCTGAATAATATTCCATTGTGTGGGCAGACATATTTGTCCGTTCATCAGTCATTATTTGAGTTCTGACATGATATTTTCCTATTTTAAATTTTGAGATATATTTTTTAAAAGTTCCGTGTGGCCCAAAGCACATATCTGTTGATCTCATATCTCTGTGAGATCTGTTTTATGACCTGCTGTTGCATATTTTCCCAGAAAATCCTCAGAACGATTCTCTGAGGTATTTGTATTTGTTCCTTTTTTTTTTTTTTTTTTTTTTTTTTNTTTTTTGAGACACAGCCTTGCTCTGTCACCTAGGCTGGAGAGCAATGGCATGATCTTGGCTCACTGCAACCTCAGGTTCAAGCAATTCTCCTGCTTCAGCCTCCTCCGGAGTAGCTGAGATTACAGGTGTGCACCACCACGCCCCGCTAATTTTTGTATTTTCAGTAGAGACAGGGTTTCACCATGTTGGTCAGGTTGGTCTCTAACTTCTGATCTTGTGATCTGCCCACCTCAGCCTCCTAAAGTGCTGGGATTACAGGTGTGAACACCGCACCTGGCCTTTTTTTTTTTTCTTCTTCTGCCCTGCAGGTTCAAGCGAGTCTCCTGTCTCAGCCTCCCGAGTAGCTGGGATTATAGGTGCCTGCCACCGTGCCCGGCTAATTTTGTATTTTTAGTAGAGATGGGGTTTCAGCATGTTGGCCAAACTGGTCTTGAACTCCTGACCTCAGGTGATTCGCCCATCTCAGCCTTCCAAAGTGCTGGGATTACAGGCATGAGCCACTGCACCCAGCCTAATTTTGTGTTTTTAGTAGAGACGGGGTTTCACCATGTTGTCCAGGCTGGTCTCGAACTCCTGACCGCAGGTGATCTGCCCATCTCGGCCTCCCAAAGTGCTGGGATTACAGGCATGAGCCACTGCGCCCGGCCGGTATCTGTTCTTTTCTTCATTATTCACATCAGGAGCTTGAGTTTCGTAAGAGTAAGAATAAACGCCTAGGAAAAGGCCTGCAGTCTCTCCATTTCCTCAGTAGCGTTTTCCCCAAAGACCAAACCCTCAAGGGAAACTGGTCTAGAGTAGCGACAGCTTAAGGCTGCAACATTGAACATTCCCGGGACTCAGTTTCCCCAGCTGTAAAATGGCAGCTGTGAAATGGCAGGCCCAGGGCATGACATTCGGGCCACTCTCGGTCTCCCACTTCATTTCAGGCGCGCGTTAGCTCTGGTCCAGCCAGTTCCGCTGCAGCTGAAGGCCAAGTTGCGGCACCCAGGTTACCCTGATCATCGCAGATTCCTCTCCGGGGCTCTGTTCTGAGGCCTCAAAAGTCCTCCTTGTAGATGGGACCAGTCCCTTGTACCCGCTAGGGTCGTTTGGGCAGCAGCAGCGCCTGGTCTCAGTCTGGTACTGAAGTCAGGAGTGGCTTAAGGGGAAATCGTGGTCCTCTGGTGAACCCCAGCGAAGACCCTATCGCTTTATTTCTGAGGTGGCGGGGGCAGGAGGAAGAGTCCCTGTTACAATGCTGATCATCATCGAGCTTTTCCTGAGCAGAAAATTCTTTAGGACGCATGGTCGAGAGTCTCTCGTGGTCTGCCTGGCCCCAGGCACCTTCCTAAGAACGCGGTGTTCCAAAAGGACAAGGCCTGGGGCAGGCGACGTCCTAGCTCGCATTCGAACAGGGCCGCGGGCCAGCAGAGACGCGCGATGCTCAACTCTTTCCAAGAGCATCTCACGTCCCGAACCCGCGCCTTCAACTCGGAGAAGTCAAGAGCCCCGCAAGAAACTTGACCGCACCCGCTGCCGCACTCCGCGGGCCGGGCAGGGGCGGCTGAGCTGGCTCCCCGGGAAACGCGCCCCCGCGCCCCACAAACCGGCGGCCTCCCGGGGACCCCTCGGCACCTGCGGCCTCCGAGGAAGGGTCCGCGTGCACGTCCGCAAGCCCGCCCCCGCCGCGCGCCCGGAGCCGGGGGTCGCCGTGCGCCCCTCGCCGCCTCCCTAGGAGAGCGTCCGGGGCGTCCCCCCTGGGGGCGCGGAAGTCCCGGGGGCGCTGCCCCGTAGCCGCTGCGCCCGGAGGCCGCACTGCCGGCGGCGGCGGCGCGGCTCCCCCTGCTCGGTGCAGCTGCCGCCCGGCGCTTGCGCACTGGGCCGGGCGCGCGGCGGCCCCGGGCTTTGTGTGCGTGTGTGTGTGTGTGTGTGTGTGTGTGTGTGTGTGTGTGTATGTGTGTGTCTGTGTGTGTGTGTGTCTGTGTCTGTGTGTGTCTGTGTGTGTGTATGTCTGTCTGTGTGTGTGTGTGTGCGTATGTGAGTGTGTGCGTGTGAGAGTGCGAGTGTCTGTGCGCCAGTGAGTGAGCGGCGGGCGGGCGCGAGTGTGGCCGCCGCGGAGCGCGAGCAGGACCCGGCGGGCGCGCTCCCCAGCCTCCGTCTCCCCGCCGGAACCATGTCGGGCAGGTCGGTTCGAGCCGAGACCAGGAGCCGGGCCAAAGATGATATCAAGAGGGTCATGGCGGCGATCGAGAAAGTGCGCAAATGGTAAGCGGAGGCGCCTGCCGCCCGCCGCCTCCCCGGCCGCCCCGAGCCCGAACGCTGCTCCAGAAAGCCGCGGGGCGCAGCGCCCCGGCCGCCTGCCCCGGCCCGGCCCCGCCGCGGGCCCCGGGACTTGGCGAGGGCGCGCGGGTGGGCGGGCGGTGCGCGAGCCGGGTCACCTGCGCCAGGCGGGGGCCGCGGCCGCTGCCCAGGTGCGCTCGCTTCTGTCGCCCACCTGGCGCGGCGGCGGCGGCGGCGGCGGCGGCCCGGAGGCGGCGGGCGCCGGGGCCGGGCGGTTGGAGCGGCGGGCGGCCCCCGCCGCGGCGCTTGGCTCCCGGGAGGGGGGCTCGGGGCCGGCCCCAGAAGCCATTTCGTTTTGTGCAAGTCACATGAAAGCGGCTTCCCGCGCGCCGGGGCCGCGATGCCGGCGGCGGCGGGGAGAGCGCGAGCTCCATTGTGCAGGCTCCGAGCGGGCCGCCGCCGCCGTCTCCTCCCAGCGCGCCCTGGCCCGCGCCCCGCCGCCCTCCGCCGGCCCCGGCCCGCCCGGCCGCCCGCTCCCGCCTCCCGGACCTGGCGCCCTCGAGTCTGCGGAGTTTGCAGAGCGCGAGCTGTTTAAATTTAGCGCTTTGGGCTGCCTGGAGCGAGGGCTCTCGGCGACCAGGAAAGATGGGGGCGAGCGCAGGGAGCCAGCGGCCAGGGGCGCGGGGCGCCCACGTCCCACCCCGCTCTTCGCGGCGCCCCGGGTGGGGGGCTCCGGCCAGCAGATGTTTTTGGCCAGAAGCCGTTGGTCCTGGGCCGTGGCTGCCTTTCCACACCGGGAGCTCGTGTTTGTTTTGCGGAGGGAGTCGTTGTTTTTGTTCTCTGCACGGGGGAGAGGAGGACTCGGCAGCGGCCGCGCGTGGTTTTCGGTCTCCGGTTAGCGTGCGCCCGGCGTGGCCGGGTCGTCATTTAGGGGATCGAATCTCTCCGCGTCCTCGTCGGGGTCTGCTCAGAATCGGCCCCTGGGCCAGGCCCGAGGCGCGAGCAGATCGCCAGGTTGGGTCAGACTTGTTGAAAACTCCCCGCTCCCTGATTTCAACTTTATTATTTTTTTCCCACGCCTTCACCGGGGTCCCGGAGGGAGAGGAGCCGCAGCGATGCTGGCCCCGAGTGTCAGCGCCCGCGGGCTCTTCCTGACCCTTTATTTCGAGCCTGGAAGCCGGGCAGGCCCCGTGGCAAGGGATGTTTACGTTTAGGGGTGTCGTTTCTCAAGTAGTGCCTCGGTCTCTAAAAGCCACTGGGGGCGAGCCTCCGGTGTGGCGGTGTCACAAGTTAGCTGTCCTTTCTGAGTCAAACCCAACAAAAAAGGCAAGAGGAAAATCAATAAAGTCCACGTGCTCCCGGGCCTCCTATGGAAAGGGCTGGCTGCGATGGCCGGATGCCCGGCCGTGGGCTGGGTTTGGCTCCAGTGGGACAAAGAATTTTCAGAACCGAGAGAAGGGGAGGCTTTCCAAAGTTGAGATCCAAGTCCTCGGTGTCTCGGGAGCTCCCCTGGTGCGCAGGGCGCCCGGTGCCCGACTGGAGCCATTTAAAAATGGCAGAAACAGCTGCAGGCCAACACACACACGCTGGAAGACAACCCGCAGCCCCCTCCACTGTGGGATTCCCCGTGGGAACCCTGGAGTGGCTCCCCTCCTCGCCTCAGCCCCTGTGCAAAGAAAGAACTGGTATGTCTGTGCCTGGGTCCCTTCTGTCGCCAGCCTGGAGGTTGGGAAGCAGCCGGCAAGCCGCCTTTCTCTGCTCGGGGAGGCGTGGTGGGGCCTCCTGCCCCAGGTTCCCAGCAGGGCAGAGGCTCCTGCACCCTGACAGCTGCTCCCGCAGGGCGGCCAGCTGCTTTGCAGGGAGGGCAGATGGAGAGATGGGGTTTTCCACTCCGCGGGCCCCAAGACGGCCAGCCTGGAGGCCTTCCAGCCCACTGAGCCCACGGGGACCAGGCCTGTAGTTGGGGCTGAGGGAGGGGGGCTGTGCCTCTGCGCCTCCCTGAGTTTGGGGAAACAACACATCGTGTCCTCTGAAGACCTCAGGCTTTGGGATCTCGAGGTCGGGCTTCCAGTTCACTTCCTTGCCGTGACCTTGGGCGTATCATTGTCACTTCTCTAACCATGGTGACCGGGGCTCTGTGCGTGGCCTCCGGGTCGCCTCGGATTGTTGAGGACCAGTGAGGTCACGCCTCCAAAAGCAGCGAGTCACGGGCGCAGGAGGAGCAGTTATTCAGGGTTGTCCCTATTGTAAGGTGGACTTTGTAGAAACTTGGCTTTCTGATTTTTTTTTTTTTTTTTTTTTGGCCCCTTCTAAGTGAAAGCCTTGGACTTATTGCCCAGGTTTCTCTGGCCCCTGAGAAGCCATAGCCCACCTTCTCTGTGCCTTCGGATTGGGTCCTTGACTCAGCCCATGAAACTTCGGGTTGTTTATTAATTGCGTGGCCGCCAACCATGCACTTCACCACTGGCAGGGAGGTGGGTTGCCAGGTTTAAGCAGAAAAAATACAGCGCACACAGTTAAATTCAAATTTCAGATAAACAATGAAATAATGTTTTAAAAATAAATGTTTTTGCGTATAAGTATGTCTCATGCCATATTTGGGACATACTTATACTAAAAAATTATCTGTTTATCTGAAATGGAAATTGAACAAGGAATCCTGTATTGTTTTACCCAGAGGAGAGCTGAGGTGTCTGGCAGACCATTTGGCCCCGTGAGTCTTGGGCGGGTTTCTCCTCAGCCCTAGTGACCCCTAAAATTACCCCCACACACACCATCCCCGGACGCTTCCCCCACCCCCATGAAAAGCTGTGGCCTTCCTCTCATTCCCCTTCCCTCTGTCTGGTGTTTCAGCAAGACAGGCCGGTGCAGTGTGAAGTGAGCACAAGACGGCGGGCCTCTTTTGGGAAACTGGGCCAGGGTTCCGAGGCCCTGTGCTGGACGAGAAGGAGCCCGGGAGATGGTGGGAGACCAAGGCTTGGGCTGCAGCATAGGCTTGGAGGCCCAGTGCGGTGGCTCACCCCTGTAATCCCAGCACTCTGGGAGGCTGAGATGGGAGGATGGCTTGAGCCCAGGAGTTCGAGACCAGCCTGGGCAACATAGTGAGACTCCATCTCTTTTTTATTTTTATTTTTCATTTTTTTGAGACGGAGTTTCCCTCTTGTCGTCCAGGCTGGAGGGCAACGGTGTGATCTCGGTTCACCACAACCTCTGCCTCCTGGGTTCAAGCGATTTTCTTACCTCAGCCTACCGAGTAACTGGGATTACAGGCTGCACTTTTAGTAGAGATGGGGTTTCTCCATGTTGGTCAGGCTGGTCTTGAACTCAGGTGATTTATGCCTCAACCTCCCAAAGTGCTGGGATTACAGGCGTGAGCCACCACGGTCTTAATTTAAAAAAAAGAGAAAGAAAAATAAAAATTAGGCCAGGCGTGGTGGTGCACACCTGTAATCCCAGCTACTCGGGAGGCTGAGACAGGAGAATCCCTTGATCCTGGGAGGCAGAGGTTGCAGTGAGCCACGATCACACCACTGCACTCCATCCTGGGTGACAGAGAGACTCCATCTCAATTAAAAAAAAAAAAAAAATTAGACAGGCATGGTGGCCCTTACCTGTAATCCCAACTACTTGGGAGATTAAGTCCAGAGGGTCACTTGAGCCCAGGAGGTCGAGGCTGCAGTGAGCCATGATCGTGCCACTGCACTCCAGCCTGGGTGACAGAGTGAGACCCTGTCTCAAAAAACAAAACAAGGCCGGACACAGTGGCTCCTGCCTGTAATCCCAGCACTTTAGGAGGCCAAGGTGGGCAGATCACCTGTGGTCAGGAGTTCGAGACCAGCCTGGCCAATATGATGAAACCCCGTCTCTACTAAAAATATAAAACTTAGCCAGGCGTGGTGGCAGGTGCCTGTAATAACAGCTATTCAGGAGGTAAGGCAGGAGAATCGCTTGAATCTGGAAGGTGGAGGTTGCCGTAAGCCGAGATCACACCACTGCACTCCAGCCTGGGGGACAAGAGCAATATTTCGTCTCAAAACAAAAACGAAGTAGGCTTAGGCCCGGGACCCCTCCGTGCCTGGTCCGAGGGCTCCCTCAGCGACTTGCCGTAAGGACTGAGAAGGGTCTGTACCCAGAAGACCTCCCGTCTGTCCCAGAAAAGGTGGAGGTTTGGGCCTGACGCCTCCCTCACCTCAGCTCCTCTGGAGGTTTCATCATGAAGACCTTCCTACTGGGCACATGGCAGGTCAAGCAGACCTGGGCCCAGCTGGGGTGAGGCCAGCCATGGACCAGGCTCCTGAGGATGCGGGGACTAGCCCTGAGGAGGCGGGGAGAGGGGATTAGAGCTTTCCTGGAGGGAGTCAGCAGGGTCCCCTTGGACCTGCCCCGCGTAGGGCAGGGCGTAGGGCACGTTGGGCACCTGTGAGCACTTGGACAGCAGGTAACCCTAAGACGGTCTTGTTGGCTAGCCCTTGGACCTGGATCCAGGAGAACATTGGAAATTGGCCTTAGCCTGGAGAATCCGAGATGGATACTTGGAGTTTATATAGGAGTCCGTGCTGGGGAGGAGCATTTGAGGCTGTGTTCCTATTGCTGGGACCTCAGTTTGGCCTTTCTTTCCAGGAGCCCAGGTGTGTCGGGAAGAGAGAGGTGCTGAAGTCAGGCTGAGGTTAGGGGGCTGCCAGGACAGGAGGCGCGGGACACCCCAGGGCCAGCTTTGCGGCAAGTTGGGCTGTGGCCTGGGGGTTGTGGTGATTTCTAGACCTGGTGCCTAGAGGCGTCAAGAGTGAGGGCATCTGAGAGGGCCAGAGCCCATCTGGGCAAGCTGCCGCTCCCCGGGGCATGTGGGCCCAGGTCGTGTTTTCAAGAGTAACCAGAAGTCTGGATTTTTATGGGAAGCTGGTTTGTTTTGTTTTGCTTGTTTAAGTTTGGCAGCAAATTCAAAATTGTTAAAGTACTGTGCAGGCCAAAGAAAACATGCCTGTTGACCAGTTGTTTGCCACCCTAAATATAAAGCAGGGCCCAGGCGAGATGGCTCACACCTGCAACCCCAGCATTTTGGGAGGCCGAGGCGGAAGATCTCTTGAGCCCAGGAGGTCGAGGCTGCAATGAGTGATCGCACCACCGCACTCCAGGGTGGACAGCAGAGTGAGACCCTATCTCAAAAAAATAAAAATAGGCTGGGCACAGTGGCTCGAGCCTGTAATCCCAGCACTTTGGGAGGCCAGGGCGGGCAGATCACCTGAGCTCAGGAGTTTGACATCTGGCCAACATGTTGAACCCCCATCTCTATTAAAAATACAAAAAATTAGCAGGGTGTGGTGGCGGGTGTCTGTAATCCCAGCTACTTGGGAGGCTGAGGCAGGAGAATAATCTCTTGAACCTGGGAGGTGGAGGTTGCAGTGAGCTGAGATTGTGCCACTGCACTCCATCCTGGGCCACAGAGCAAGATTCTGTCTCAAAAAAATTGAAAAATTAAAAAAAAAAAAGTGATGAGTATAGCTTAATACCCTCATTGGGGGAGGGGAGCAATGCCCTTTTTTGGGGAGGGCTGTGTTCTGTGGTGATGGTCTTGGGAGGCAATTGTGGGAAACCTCAGCTGCTCCGCTGAACCCCTGTGCCCAGCCGATGTGTCTATGGCTGTGAAATGCCATGTCCTCCCGGGCACTCACTCGGTGCCTTAAGCTTGAGCTCCATGGTCCCTCCTGGGTGGCTGCTTGGCTGAGCGTGGGTCCAGCCCAGAGATACAGTTCTTAATGTCCTTGCCTCTGTCCCAAAGCCCCCTCAATGTCCACGCCTAGAAATACGATAACGGAAACCTGGTGAAGAGGTCGCCAGTCGGGGCAAAGAGAGGCACAAAAGCCTGGCTGCATTCAGCTCATAGCCGGCAGTGGCCTCAAGCCTCTCTGGGAAGCAGCTGCAAACTTGCATCTTGGCACATTTGCGGCTCCAAGGCCCAGATCTCCGGCACACTTTCTGCCCTGAAAGGTGTCCTGTGTGTTACAAGTCAATTACTTTTTTTTTTTCCCCCCAAATACAATCAAGCCTTGAATGGGTTGATTTACTGGGAAGCTGGTCCAGGGCTCATGAGTAATGAATGGCTTTGGCCAGTCTGCATGGGGTCCTGGCAATTTGTCATTCTTCCTCCAGCTTCTGCTACCCCAGCACTCCTTAGAATGGATTCTTGGTTTTCATGGGCAACAGAATAGCAGGAGGTGGTGTCGGGTCCGAGCCTGAGTCTCATTCTCTTCTGCCACTTCCTGTCTCTGAGACACCAAGTTAGTGGTGTAACCTCTCTGGGCATCCTGTTCTGTATCTGTAAAAAGGGTGACAGTCATCCCCCTCTCATAGCCTGTTGGGAATCCCAGGGGGAGAGTGTGTATAAGTAAAGTGCTTGGCGTGGAGCCTGGCATGTAATAGCCGGGGCACACAATGGCTACTGTGTTGGTTGCTGTAACAACCCAGCTTCTTCCTGGGAATACCCTGTCCCTTCTGGACCCCTTCTGATCGCTCAGAATGGAGGAGTGGAAAGGTGGGCATCATGGCTTGTCTGCTCTGCCCACAGGAGGCAGGAGACTGGCTAGTGGACTTAGATACCCATCTTTCCTACATCCTTTCTGGGGGAAAAGGTGCAGGGATGGGGGGCAGAGAGGCTGCGCTCAGCAGCTGTGCTCGGGGAAGGGTCTGAGTGCTGGCTCTGGGAGATGAGTTCACCTTCACTGCTCTGTGCCGCAGTTTCTTTATCTGTCAAATGGGGCAGTTGCCATTTCCTTTTTTTTTTTTTTTTTTTTTTTTTTTTTTTTTTTTTTTTTTTTTTTTTTTTTTTTTTTTTTTTTTCGGCACGCTTGTTGCCCAGGCTGGAGTGCCATGGCGTGATCTCAGCTCACTGCAACCTCCACCTCCTGGGTTGAAATGATTCTCCTGTCTCAGCCTCCTGAGTATCTGGGATTACAGGCATGCGCCACCATGCCCGGCTAATTTTTTGTATTTTTTTTAGTAGAGATGAGGTTTCACCGTGTTAGCCAGGATGGTTTTGATCTCCTGACCTCAGATGATACACCCGCCTTGGCCTCCCAAAGCGCTGGGATTACAGGCGTGTGCCACCGCACCCGGCCGGAAGTTGCCATTTCCTGCCAGGAGAGCCGACACAGTACTTGGCACGTAGAAGGAACTAGGGACAGCCATTGGTATAGTAAGAAAAGCCAGCCGTAGTGTCCTCCGGCAGGGAACATGTGGGGCCTAGGCAGGCAGGGTTTTTGGGGGTGAGGTGTCTGTGGTTTTGGCTGTCCAACTTTGAGTGTGCTCTGGCATCTTGTAACCCCTGTGGTGATGGGGTGGGAGTCCTGTAACCTCTCACATCAGCATGTGAGGGCCACGTGCACAACTAAGGGGTGACCCAAGGCTGAGTTTGGGCAGAGAGGCCAAAAAAAGGTGCCATCAGCTCATGGACAGAGGCGCTCCTGCTGCACAGAATTATTGGTTCTGGGGAACTTTTGTCACCAAAATTGCTGAGGACTCAGGCAGCTATGTTGCCTGTGCCAGGAGTGCGCCTGGCCTGACAGCCCCTGTGAGGCCATCAAATCTGGCAGCCTCCTTGCTCAGCCATCAGTGGCTCCTCGGTGGCCTCACATGTCTTCTGAGATGGCAGAGCCGCGAGTTCGGAGCCTGGGTTCCAACCCCAGCCCGGCTTCTGAGCGGCTCTTTGGAGCCTCAGCCCCCTCAGGGGTGTGGCCGCTGGGCCTTTGAGGCTGTAAGGGACAAGTGCAGGGGATCAAGGACAGGAGGTGGCTGGCTGTAGCAATAATTGGAAGATGACGTGGCTCGGAGTGGAGTGGCGGTGGTGGGGGAGAGGGTGCTCATTGTTATCTTGAATGAAAACCAGTCCCGTTTCCTTGTGTGGCTTGTAAGTTTCTCAGTCTCACCCATAAACCTGCCTCTCACGGTGGGGTCTGGGCTCAGTCCTTCAGGCATTTGTAATACAGCTGGGTGATCTTGCAGACGGGGTCACTAGGAGCCCTGATCCAGGAGTGCGGGTCCCCTCCCGCCCGGCTGCCACCTACAGATTCAGGCCATGCACCCTCCTTTCAGGCCGAGGTCACCACTCCCTGGCTCTCCTTGGCCACAGCGAAGGGCATTCCTCCGGCAGAGTGTGGGCGGCCCAGGCCTGCCTGCTCCTGCCTCCACTGACCTCAGACACATCGCCAGGAGGGCAGGAGGAGCCCCAAGGCGTCCTTGGTGATGACTCTACCCCCCACGAGAGGAATTGGCCCACTGGCCTGAAGCCCTCTCTGCTGCCCAGAAGGGCGAGGGTGGCGCAGTCCACTGGCTGGGTGGCATCGGCAGTGACATAGGAGGAACCTGGGCCTGACTCCCGCCACCCATAGGAGTCCTTGTAATGGCAGCCCCACCCTCACCCTTTTTGGCAACAGCCTGATGAGGGCAACCACCCTATGTGGGGTCACGAGTGGAGAAGCCAGGCTTAGTTGGTGATCTGGCCTGCCCAGGGGCTCCAGCTAGTGAGGGTGGAGCTGGGATTCAAGCCCTCGTCTGTGTGAGCTAGAGCCTGCTCTCAGCCCCAGGGGAATGTGGCCTGTGTCCCCCAGCCATGAACAGGCTCTTCCTCATCCTCCTCAGGGAGAAGAAATGGGTGACCGTTGGTGACACGTCTCTGCGAATCTACAAATGGGTCCCTGTGACGGAGCCCAAGGTTGATGACGTGAGTATGGGGGGCTGGTCCCCTGGGGTGGGCCGTCCATCTGTGCTCTCTCCACCACAGGGCGGGGGGTTGTCTGCTGCCACCTGTGCCAGGGCTCTGGGACCAAGAGCCCCTGGGAGTAGAAGGACCCAGCTTAGACCGGGGGAGGCTGCTGGACCCACCCGCACCCCTCCAACTCCAGCCCCAGAGTCTGACCCTCAGAGTGGGGGTGCATCCACAAGTTGTGTCTTTTTTTTTTTTTTTTGAGACAGAGCCTCATTCTGTTGCCCAGGCTGGAGTGCAGTGGCATGATCTCGGCTCACTGCAATCTCTGTCTCCTAAATTCAAGTGAGTTTCCAGCCTCAGCTTCCCAAGTAGCTGGGATTACAGGCACATGCCACCATACCCAGCTAAATTTTTGTATTTTTAGTAGAGACAGGATTTCACCATGTTGGCCAGGCTGGTCTCGAACTCCTGACCTCAGGTGAGTCACCGCGCCTGGCGTTCAAATTGTGTCTTCTGGGCTGAGCGCCCTTCCCAGGTATTGCACTGTGGTTCAGGGCAGGTTTGGCGGCGCGCACCGATAGGCAGGTTCTCCCTGCCTTTGTGGTTCTGTTCCTGAGCCTGCAACCATCTGCCAGGCCCTGGGTTGATGCCTCACATGCAGCATCTCAGTTATTTTTCCTGCTCAGCCTGTGGAGTTGATCTTTTTAACTCCTCTCTGTACAAGTGAGGACACAGGCTCAGAGAGGTGAAGTCACTTCCCTAGAGTCACACAGCTAGCGTCAGAGCCATGAATAGAGCTCAGGCCTGTCTGACTCCAAAGTGCATTGTTCTCTCTGCGCTTGGAGGAGCTGTTGGTGACTGCAGCTGCTGATGACGGGGGTCCCTGGGTTAGGAAATCCTGGTGTGCGGATGCAGGGGTCTCTAGGAGGGCTCCTGGAGGGGTGGCGCCATCCTGACTTCTACCACTAGAGGGAGCTTGAGGCGCTGTCCTAGTTCTTGGGGAGGGCTTGATGGCTGGCAGCTGCCCCAACTTTGCAGACAAGGCTCTCCAACTTCTTGGCTCCCAGGCCAGTGACCTCCAGAGACCCCTTATTTCCATCCCAAATCAAGAACAGTCTCCCCCAGAGGCCTTTGCCTGGGCCGTTCCCTCTGCCTGGACTGCCTTCCCTATTTCCTCAAACTCAGTCCTTCTACCTGGGAAGATGGCGCAGACTAACCCACATGGCTGCCGTCACTCCTGGCACTGATGTGAGGTCATGATTGGTAAGTTTTGGGTGGGCGAAGCAAGTGGGGGTGCAGCTTCCTCCAAAAAGACAGGGGCTGAGTTTCCCTCCCCATCTTCAGTCTTGGGTCTCGGGGCAGGGCTGTGGCTCCATTCATTCTTCTCCCTGATCACAAGCTCACCCCTGAACTTGGGCCTTTGTTGTCCCTTCTGGTTCTGGCCTGGGCTCCTAGAAACACCAGGGCTGCTTCCCCCAAAGGGACTGAGACTTGCTCTCTCTCCGCATCTCCCTGGGAAGAGCACTGCAGGCTCCTCGAAGGCAGCTCCTGGCTCTGGCCCATGTCTGCGTCTTGCCCGCCATTAGGTGTAGAAATGCCGGTTGCATTTGAGAAGATGTGGTCCCTGCTCTCAAGGAATTTCTAATCTCGTTGGGGGAAGATAATTATAGAATCGCATGAAACAGATATCAGGGAAGTGCCAAATGGAATATGATCAAGGAGAAAACGTAAGCTGTGGGCCATCGGAAAGATGGGGCAGCTCTAGGCTTCAAAGGACTGTTGGATTTGGAGTGGGACAGCTCAGCCCTAATTAACCTGTGGTGTTGGGCAGTTGACCCCACCTTGCTGGGCCTTAGTCCCCTCTTTTGAGGAATGGAGCAGTGACATCCAACTCGCGGTTTCTGCAACAGAGCAAAAGCAGTATATCACCACGGAGAATACTTAGCACCGAGCCGGCTGTGCAGCCGGTGCCGAGAAATGCAAATTCCCTCTTCATCTGTGAGCCGTGAAGTGCCATGTGCCACTCCCCCACTCTTTCCCTCTAGGGCGATGGGTCTCGGCCTGGCTGAGCACCTTGAGAAGATGCAGATTCCCAGGCCCCCCACCAAGCAGCTGAGTCTCTGAAGGTTGGGGCTGGGATTCTGCCTTGTAGAGGGATAGCTTTTTATCATTTTTAACAGCCAGTATCTACATGGTTATATCCATTTTTTACTTTGGAACTCTGGAAAATTTCATCCTTTTAAATAGGTAAAACATGTTACAAAATTCAAATTCTAAACAGTTTTTAAATTAAGACAATTTGCATATCATAGAAGTCACTTTTTTTTTTTTTTTTTTTTTTTTTTTTTTTGAGATGGAGTCTCGCTCTGCCATCCAGGCTGGAGTGCAGTGGCGCGATCTCGGCTCACTGCAACCTCCACCTCCAGGGTTCAAGCGTTTCTGCCTCAGCCTCCCGAGTAGCTGGGACTATAGGCATGCGCTACCATGCCCAGCTAGTTTTTTATATTTTAATAGAGAAAGGGTTTCACCATGAGCCACCATGCCTGGCCAAGAAGTCACTTTTTTTTTTTTAAGAGACAGGGTCTCTGTTGCCCAGTCTGGAGTGCCGTGGCAGGACCACAGCTCACTGCAGCCTGGACCTCCTGGGCTCAAGCAATCCTCCCATCTGTGCCCTCTGAGTAGCTGGGACTGCAGGCATGCACACCTGGCTTGCTTGCTTGCTTATTTATTTATTTATTTAAATAGAGACAGGCTCTGGCTCTGTTGCTTAGGCTGGTCTCAAACTCCTGGCCTCAAGCCAACCTCCTGCCTCAGCCTCCCAAAAGTGCTGGAATTACAGGCATGAGCCACTGTGCCTGGCCAGAAGTCACTCTTTTAAAGTATTCAGTTGAATTAGTATATTCACAGAGTCGTGCAGCTGTAATCGCTGTAATTCCAAAACATTTTCCTCACCCCACAGAAGGAGCTCACACCCATTAGCAGTTACTCCCCACCCACCTCGCCTGCCCCTGGTAACCACCAGTCCACTGTCTTCTGTCCGTCTGGATCGGTTTATCTTCAGGTGTTACCCTTTCACTGTCTGTCTTTTATAAATCTGCCTCATCCCTGCATGCACCCCCATCCCCACCCCAGTTCTCGTCCCTGAAGGCAAGCAGTATTGCCAGGTTTTGTTTATCCTTATGGAGGGAGCCTTCGCTAGCAGACATGCATGTAAATACACACATGCACACACACACACACAGGAGCGAGCATACACATGAACCTTTGTTCACCACTGGTGGTGACGCTCACACACCCTGCATTTTTCTTGCATACATCTTGGCGATATTGACATATTTTAATCTGTGAGTATTTTCAGATCATCCCATGTTAGTCTGTGAAGAACCACCTTATTCCGTGTAATTGTTGCATCAGGTTTCATTGAGTGAATGTACCACGATTGAGTTAATGAGTCTCTTCCTGTTGAGCCCAGGTTGTTTCTAACACAATTCTATTCCTTTCGTTAAAAAAAAACAAAAAACAAAAATGAATGCCCAGGTGCGGTGACTCAAACCTGTAATCCCAGCACTTTGGGAGGCTGAGGTGGGTGAATCATGAGGTCAGGAGTCCAAGACCAGCCTGACCAACATGGTGAAACCCCGTCTGTACTAAAAATATAAAAATCAGCCAGGCATGGTGGTGTGCAGCTGTAATTCCAGCTACTTGGGAGCTGAGGCAGGAGAACTGCTTGAACCCAGGAGGCAGAGGTTGCAGTGAGCCAAGGTCACGCCACTGCACTCCAGCCAGGAGACAGAGCGAGACTCCATCTCAAAAAAAAACAAAAAAAAACAAAACAAAACAAAACAAAAAAAAAAAAAAAAAAAAGGAATGGCACACAAAGCACCCCCATCCTCCCTCCTTCCTCCCAGGGTCTTCCCTCTTAACTACTCCTGTGCTTTTGTACTGGAGGTCGGGCAGTACACTTGAGAAAGGCTGCCCCAGGAGGCCTGCAGCTGGCGGAAATGAGTGACCCCTGGCTCACCTGGCATCACTTTGTGCATGGTCTGGGCTGATGGTGGCCTCTTCCCCAGATATCCTCCCTAAAGAGGAGGCAGGTCCTGCCAGCCCGGGCATTTCCGCACTGCTGCTGACAGCCCCAAAAACAGGCAGGCTGATTTCCCAGGGTGCCAGAGCTGGGCCAACCTCAAACCCTCCCTGCTGCGGGACCCTTTGATTCCAACGTGGGTGGGACCCAGAGCCCAGTCCCTAATGGGATGTGGTCAAATCCAGGCTCAGGAAAACCCTTCAGAGGCCTGGGGGTTCCAGGAGGCTTCGACAGAATAAAATATTCACACCACTCCCCAGGGGCTCTGAGCACGTGTATGCACACACACGCAATCTGGTGACTTGGTTTCTGCCCCATTTTTCTCTGCAGAAAAACAAGAATAAGAAAAAAGGCAAGGACGAGAAGTGTGGCTCAGAGGTGACCACTCCGGAGAACAGTTCCTCCCCCGGGATGATGGACATGCATGGTGAGTGCCCGTGGCCTGCCAGCCTCTCCTGCCCGGCCCGGGGCCCTGGCCAAGCACTGGGTCGTGTTTTTGTTTCTGCAGCAGGTTGGTTCACATTCCAGGCAAGGGGTAGGAGGGCTGGGCAGGGCCCGGAGGCCTCTGTGCCAAAGAGAAGACTCAGCGAGGAGAGGAAGTTTCTTTTCCCAGCGTACCAGGCCAAGAGACATACACTAAGCCAGAGACATAGAAATTAGACCCTCTCCTCACCCGGGGATGAGAACCTCATGGGAGACGTTGCTCTCAGCCTCGTGTACCCAGGAAGGTTGATTGGGGGTATGTTTCTTTCCCCCCTCGTATAAATTAGATAAATGCCTGTGTTTCCCATTTTGCTTTGGCTGCTGAGAATCTCCAAACTGGATTTCTTTCTTTTTGTTTGTTTTGGTTTTTGTTCTTTTTGAGACAGTCTCTCTTTGTTGCCCAGGCTGGAGTGCAGTGGCGCGATCTCGGCTCACTGCAACCTCCGCCTCCCGGGTTCAAGCAATTTTCCTGCCTCAGCCTCCTGAGTAGCTGGAACTACAGGCGTGCGCCACCATCCCTGGCTAATTTTTGTATATTTTAGTTGAGATGGGGTTCCACTACGTTGGCAAGGCTGGTCTCGTACTTCCGGCCTCAAGTGATCCACCCGTCATGGCCTCCCAAAGGGCTGGGATTACAGGCATGAACCACCATGACCAGCCTCCAAACTGGATTTCTGACTTCATGTTAATCCCACCAGGACCTTGGGAACTGCCCTTCCACATCCACAGCCTCACTTCCTTTGCTGTTTAATTTAGAATATTATAACTTAGGCCGGGCGCGGTGGCTCAAGCCTGTAATCCCAGCACTTTGGGAGGCCGAGGCGGGTGGATCACGAGGTCAAGAGATCGAGACCATCCTGGTCAACATGGTGAAACCCCGTCTCTACTAAAAATACAAAAAAAAATCAGCTGGGCATGGTGGCGCGTGCCTGTAATCCCAGCTACTTAGGAGGCTGAGGCAGGAGAATTGCCTGAAACCCGGAGGCGGAGGTTGCAGTGAGCCGAGATCGTGCCATTGCACTCCAGCCTGGGTAACATAAGTGAAACTGTCTCAAAAAAAAAAAAAAAAAGAATATTATAACTTAGCCGCGTACAGGAAACACGTACCTGTAGTCCTGGCTACTCAGGAGGCTGAGGCTGGAGGATCGCCTGAACCCGGGAGTTCAGCCCTGCAGTGTGCTATGATCGTACCTAAGAATAGCTGCTGCACTACAGCCTGGGCGGTCCCGTGAGACCCCATCTCTTCAAAAGGCAAAAAAGCCAAACAAGTTGTAACGCAGGTCCGCCCACCGAATCCAGGCTGGCGCTTCTGCCACTGTTGCCCGTTGCTGGTGTCTGTTTCTGTTTTGACCTTTTTATTTGAGAGGAAAGGTGCAAATGATACATGTAAGGCTCCGTGAAATGTTCTCAAACTGCACACACCCATGTGATTACCCAGTCAAAACACAGAATGTTCCGAGCCAGTCCCCGGTGTCCCCCGAGGGTCCCTCCTGGTTGTCTCCATCCGTCAAAGGAAAACACCCTCAGAGATTCAAACCTAAACATCCTTTTTTTTTTTTTTTTTTTTGAGGCAGAGTCTGACTCCTGTCTCCCAGGCTGGAGTGCAGTGGTGTGATCTCAGCTGACTGCAACCTCTGCCTTCTGAGTTCAAGCGATTCTTCTGCCTCAGCCTCCTGAGTAGCTGGGACAACAGGCCTGTCCTACCACGCATGGCTGGTTTTTTTGTACTTTAGTAGAGATGAGGTTTCACCATGTTGCCCAGGCTGGTCTCCCAACTCCTGTGCTCAGGCAATCCGCCCACCTCAGCCTCCCAAAGTGCTAGGACTACAGGTGAGAGCTACCACGCCCGTCCTCAAAGCTTCATAAAAATTGAGTTGGCTTCCCATGTTTGGAAATCAGGAACCCTGCATCCTGCCATCCCTTGAGAAATCAGATCTGACAGCCCCGTTGCCGTGTGCTCCCTCAAGGCAGGGGCTGCCTGAAGCCAGAGCCGCCTTCCGTTATGATGAGTGTGGCACCTCCAGGCCCACCTGGCTCAGCCACTGCCTCTCTGTCACCTGGCTGGCCCGCTAGGACAAGAGCCTGCAACCCCTGCCTTTTTCTGTCTCTTGACCCTAATTTCAATGTCTTTGTGCTTTTGACCATTGAAACCTTTGGTGCAGCCATGTGGTAGTAGATAAACAACTAAAGAAGGAACTGGGAAGGAATATTGGTTTGCTGGAGTTTCTGATCTCCCCAGACCCAGTGCTGCCTTGTTCTGGGGAAGGAAGACCAGCAAACTTCCCCCCATGCCAAATCCACCTGTCTGGAAAACACAGTCACCAGTTCCAATGGCAGGAGGGCTGGCAGGTGTCTGAACAGGCTTTGGAAAAGCACAGTGGCCGTGGCTCATGCCTGTAATCCCAGCACTTTGGGAGGCTGAGTTAGGAGGATCCTTTGAGCCCTGGAGTTTGAGACCAACCTGGGCAACATAGGGAGATCTCATTTCTACAAAAAAAAAAAAAAAATACGTTTAAGTTAGCTGGGTGCGGCGATGCGTACCTGTAGTCACAGCTATTCTGAAGGCTGAGGTGGGAGGATTGCCTGAACCTGGGAGTTGGAGGCTGCAGTGAACAGTAACTGCACCACTGCATTGCAGTCTGGGCAACAGAGCAAGACCCTATCTCTTAAAACAGACATATATTGGCCGGGCGAGGTGGCTCACACCTATAATCCCAGCATTTGGGGAGGTTGAGGCAGGTGGATAATGAGGCCAAGAGTGCAAGACCAGCCTGGCCAACACGGTGAAACCCCATTTCTACTAAAAATACAAAAATTATCTGGATGTGGTGGCGAGCACCTGTAATCCCAGCTACTCAGGAGGCTGAGGCAGGAGAATTGCTTGAATCTGGGAGGAAGAGGTTGCAGTGAGCCGGGATTGCATCACTGTACTCCAGCCTGGGCAAGAGAGCGAGGATGTGTCTCCAAAAAAAAAAAAAAAAATCCAGGTTTGTGGCCTGGACAAACTCTCCAGAAAAATCTAGAATGCTGAACAAACCAGGTCCCCAACATGGGAGCCCTGTCCACTTTCTCGTTTCCATTTTAGTGCATTTGCAGCCAAAACCAAGTCAGACACAAGAGCGTGTGACTGGGAAGGTCAGGGAAAGGTGTGGGCTGGCCGAGTTTTCTGGAAGGCTTCAAGTGGGAGGATGTATACAGCAGGAGATGAAGGGAGAGGGTGGTGCCCTGGGCCCTTTAGTCCACAAGACTCAGCTGAAGTTAGCCCAAGTATCGGGGTCACGCCGTTACCAGGCTACCGGCCTAGGCCCAGACGTTAAACATTAGTGCTTATTGTCATTAATTAACAACCTCAGGAGCCTATGGGGCCAGCATCTTGCTCGAGGGCTGGCCGTAGGAAGGTAGTTCAGATTTTCTCGGAGGAGAAATCAGGGAGCACACATCATTTTTAAGTTCTAGAATTCATAAGAGGATGCTTTTGTATAACGCACACCCCAGAGTCCAGTTAAACTCAGGTCCAGGTTACTTGGGTGGGACTGCCTGACTGCCTGGCCCTCCTCAGCAGGTTGAGGTAGAGGAGGGGCATGGGGCTGGGAGCTGGGCAGATGGGTCCGGCTAGTGGCTCTCCTGCTCCCAGCCTTGGTTTCCCCCTCTGGAAAGTGAAGGAGGTAATGGCGCCTCTCCAGTGGGTTGTTGGGAGGATTAAACAAGGTGACCACAAATGCTTTTGCCCAGTGCCTCCCACATGGCAGGCACCCGCGTTTGTTGGGGTGTCTCTGACTCTTTCTCATTCTTACAAAAGGGGTCGTCGCCCGAGGTGCAGCATGGCCCAGAAAGGCTGCTTCCTATTGCATCGGCTTTGAAACCTCCATTTGGGTCTCTGCTGTTTGAAATGACTCTCCTAGGTTTGGCATAGTGGCTCAGGCCTGTGATCTCAGTGCTTTGGGAGGCCAAGCCTGGAGGATCACTTGAGCCCAGGGGTCCAAGACCAGCCTGGCAACATAGTGAGACCCCATCTCTACAAAAAATTTAAAAATTAGCCAGAGACAGTGGCACATGCCTGTGGCCCCAGCTACTCAGGAGGCAGAGGCAGGAAGATGGCTTGAGCCTGAGAGTTCGAGGCTGCAGTGAGCTCTGATTGTGCTGCTGTACTCCAGCGTGGGCGACAGAGCCAGACCCTGTCTCTAAAATAAAAAGTACATAAATGGCTGGGCGTGCTGGCTCATGCCTGTAGTCTCAGCACTTGGGAGGTCAGGGCAGACAGATCACCTGAGGTCAGGAGTTCAAGAGCAGCCTGGTCAACATGGCGAAACCCTGTCTCTACCAAAAAATAATAAAATAACAAAAATTAACCTGGCATGCTGGTGTGTGCCTGTGATCCCAGCTACCTGGAAGGCTGAGGCATGAGAATTACTTGAACCCAGGAGGCAGAGATTGTAGTGAGCCAAGATCATGCCACTGCACTCCAGCCTGGGTGACAGTGAGATTCCATCTCAAAAAAATAGAGTGACTCTCTGTGCCTGAGAACGGGGTACAGGACAAGGGTAGGTGCACCCCGGGCCCCTGCTCTCCCCCCAGCCCGACTGTGAATGCCATTGCCCAGTTACCCCTTCCCTTTCTTCTTTGTGTTGTGAAGGGTTTCGTTGTCAAGAACAGTAGAGAGAGGAATATGATTCCCCTATACCCTCCACCCTGATTTTCATGAATACGATGCCATATTTGCCTCATCTATTTTTTCAGTGTGTCGAATGTTTTAATTAAAAGATAATTCACATATTAAAATACACTGCTAGTGGCCGGGCGCAGTGGCTCACACCTGTAATCCCAGCACTTTGGGAGGCTGAGGCAGGCAGATCACCTGAAGTCAAGAATTTGAGACCAACCCAGAACATGGTGAAACCCATCTCTACTAAAAATACAAAAATCAGCCAGGTGTGGTGGCAGGCACCTGTAAATCTACTTGGGAGCCTGAGGCAGGAGAATTGCTTGAACCCGGGAGGCGGAGGTTGCAGTGAGCCCAGATTGTGCCACTGCACTCCAGTCTGGGTGACGGAGCAAGACTCTGTCTCAAAAAAAAAATAAAAGTTCAAGGCGTCCTGGCAGCAGCATGTAGCTTGCACGGAAGCATTTTCTGGTAAATTTCCCTGCCTCATGACATTCAAGTCTGCACCTAAATCACAGCATACATTGCTAAAAACATGACATTTCTGTACACCCACTGTCCCATGATCACTTCTAACAAAATTAGCAACAGTTCCTTAATAGCTTTTAAAATCCAGACCATACTCAGATCCCCCAGTTCCAAAGTGTTAAAAGCCGGCACGTTTGAAACAGGATCCACATAATTTCCATACATCATATTTAGTTGAGTCTCTTAGCTTTCTTTATTCCACAACCATCTCCCCTCCTCTTTTTATTTTTTAATAAAAACGATACCGACTTTAAGGGAGGGGGCCATGTGTCCCGTGGAATGTGCCACCCCGGCTGCTTCTCTCTCCCTTTTACTTCCTATCAAGTGGAACTTGGCTCCGGCCTGGATGCGTTCATTCAGAACGTCTTGGCAATCACGCCTCACGGACCATGCCGTGTCTTCCGTATTGCTTCCCTGCCAGATACACAAGGCATCTGGTTTCTACACCCAGAATGAGGCCCCAAATGTCCCCCCAAGGTTTTAAATATGTTAGGCCACCATCCCCAGCTGGCTACCTCCAGACACAGGGTACAGTTGGCTCAGTGTGGGGAAGGTCAGGCCAGTGCCAGAATTCTTTGCGCCCCTGGACACATGGGACAGCTGTGGTGCTTGGAAGGGGTGGGGGGCCGAAGGGGTCAGCTCAGGGGTCCCAGGAGGAGGAGTATCCAGACCCTTCCTGGATAGCCAGGCGAGGTGGCTCACGGCTATAGTTCCAGCACTTTTGCAGACCAAGGTGGGCGGATCACCTGAGGTCAGAAGTTCGAGACCAGCCTGGCCAAAATGGTAAAACCCCGTCTCTATTAAAAATACAAAATTAGCCAGGTGTGTTGGTAAGCACCTGTAATCCCAGCTACTTGGGAGGCTGGGATTACAGAGAATCACTTGAACCCAGGTGGCAGAGGTTGTAGTGAGCCAAGATTGAGCCACTGCACTCCAGCCTGGTGACAGAGCAAGATCCATCTTAAAAAAAAAAAGGGATAACCAGATTCCTCCCGAGAGAGCTGCCGTGGGGCTCTGGGCATTGAGGCACAGGGAGGCAGAGCCCCCCAACCCGCCTGTCCTTGGCAGCTGTGGGATTTCATCGTGTGGTTCTGTTCCCATCCCCGACAGACGATAACAGCAACCAGAGCTCCATCGCAGATGCCTCCCCCATCAAACAGGAGAACAGCAGCAACTCCAGCCCCGCTCCGGAGCCCAACTCAGCTGTGCCCAGCGATGGCACCGAGACCAAGGCAGATGAGGCCCAGGCTGATGGGAAGGAGCACCCAGGAGCTGAAGGTACGTGGCCTCTGGGGGCAGGGCTCTGACGGCCTCCCTGTAACCGCCTTCAGGCAGTCTGTGGCCAGGTGCTCAAAGAGGCCCTGCCATGTGCCAGCCCCAGCAAAGATACAATGAAGACAAGTGACACCTGGAATACATGTCCTGTACCATGTAAAGACCCTGTCTTGTGGGGCAATTAAAAAAATCAGAGGCCGGGTGCGGTGGCTCAAGCCTGTAATCCCAGCACTTTGGGAGGCCGAGGTGGGTGGATCACGAGGTCAAGAGATCAAGACCATCCTGGTCAACATGGTGAAACCCCGTCTCTACTAAAAATACAAAACATTAGCTGGGCATGGTGGTGCGTGCCTGTAATCCCAGCT